ATAGAAGTTTAAGATAGATGAGTGTGCAATAAATTACTAGCTGTATAATCATTTGTTAGAGATTGTTGCTCTAAGTCCATGGCCAGTGTGTGAAAACACTTGGTAGATAAAACAAATGATAAAATGCTTGGTATAATGCTAGGGAGATTAACCACTTCTCATTATAGGCTGCCAAGTGATTTTTGTTTTGTGGGACAAAATATATTACAAATTGTTTATTGGTGTGACTTAAATTGTTTGCTAGATCTTGGCTCACAGATCACTTTCATATACACTAACTTTTAGACAGCCATTTTACTCTTACATTCTTGACCAAAGAAGAGATTAATGTCAAATTTTCATTTAAAGAATAGTAGTTGCTGCTTACTAAACTTAACTGTTGCTATGAGTGATGGCTACCAAAGGATTGAAATGGCTTAAGTTCCAAAATTTGGTGAATCATATTTCTATTTTCAACTTGTCAAAAATTCTTAAGATAATTGCAATTTATATATCAAAATCCTCACATCAAACTAAAATCTCAAGCAGTTCAGAGTATTTTGGGTTTAAATTCACCACTAGAGTCTCTAGCATATCTACTTGGATTAAAATATGAAAGGTGCAGATAATCACATAGTATAATGTTAAGATGCTGAATTCCCACATGATCAACCATGGTTCAATTCCTGGACCTGGTGACTTGAAAATCACACTGGGCACATGTGCATCCATGTCCAAAATCGAAGAGTAGAGTGGAAAAGAAAATATTACAGCACAGTCATCCCCTCCAGGGAGTGAATTCTTGCTTTCCCTCTCTCTGTCTCTCTCTAGCAAGTACACATGCCCTATGGCCAAAATCTTAAAAAGTGGTTAAAGGAACTGGAACCCACATGGCTAATGGTAATTCAAATCTTGGATCTGGAGGCTTGAAAATCAGGCCAGGTACATATGTGTGCACGTCCCAAATCCCAACAGGATGGAGAAATAGAGAAGGAATTGCAATATGATCATTCACTGCAGGGAGAGAAGTGCTTTCTTCCCTACCACCCTTGTCTCTCTCTCTCTGTGAGTACACATGCCCTCTGGTAATTAAAAACAAAACAAACAAGCAAGCAAACCAAAAACGAATGATCAAAAGTGATTTAGCTGCTAAAACTCTAAGCTCTAAATGAGAACTTTGATCTTGATATCAGACAAAATAGAATTCAGGCAAACATTCATCAATTCTGACGAAGATATAGCAGCTATAATATCTGTGTGTGCCAGTAAAGAGACAGACAAAGGTATATCTACTTTATAAACCAGCACAATGACTTGCAAGCAGAAATAAATAAAAACCATAACTAGTAAGAGGAACACCATCCTGTGTATAAAACAAGTCAAGAAACAAAAATGAATTGAAGGAAAATGGAGACTAAAACAATATAATCAATAAGGTAGATTATATGGAGATACATACATACATGTGTGTATGTCAAACTTCAAATACTGATAAATAATATGAACTTTATTTATTTAGTTAGTTTTACTAAAGGATATGTGCACATGCCATATGGCAACACCCCCACCCATCCACCCACACACACAAAATGACAAGCTCAAGGTCACATAGATAGTAAGGAATCAGATTTAAGCTCCAACCTGGATTGTCTGAACCTCAAGCCTTTTTTCTAATCTCTATGGTAAGCTTAAACCACCTGTAAACCACCGATATTTTTAGCAAGAGTGAAAAACTGTCGATTTGATGAGTTTTGTACTTTGGATATAGGTCACTAACCTGAATTAACAAATCTAGCTGCCCTGACCATAATTTAAGCACCCAACTCAATCTTTCCCCACATGTTCATAGAAATAAAATATAATCACTATTCTGCTTCAACTACAGTTTCTTTATAAAATTATTTGCTAACGAAAACCAAAAGAAAGAGAACCTCCCAGGTCCTCCCCCCTCCCCCCCACCAGACTGTCTGCTTAGCATGTGCATTAGCCATATACCTCGGACAACAGAGTCCCTAGGGACTTGAAAGAGCTTGACAATTTTGCAAGCTCATCCCCTTGCTTCTGGGCTTCATTCTCAGAAGAAACTTCAATCAAAGTTTTAAGCCTGGATTTCAGCCAGCTGAGAGTCTCGCCTTTCTGAGTAACACCACTTCTTATTTCCTGGAATAAAAGAACACTTTTTATGAACTGAGTACAATTACAAATGATAACTTTCCTGCAGTGAAGGGCTCAGCCCAAAAAGGATGAAAAAGTTTAGGTAGGAGAGCCAGACAGTCGCTCACCAAGAGGGTGCCTGCTCATTTAACTTTGTACACATCGGTAACAGAAGCCTGCAAGTGAAAAAAAAAAAAAAAACATTCCCAAGGTCAATACCTGATGTATGAAATCAGTGCTGTCTATACTCAAAAATTACTAGTTTGTGGTTCTGTGGTAACACAAAATTGGATCCATACGGAAGGTCCTGTGTTTGCATCCTGAGGTCTCCCTGTTCATGCTGAGCATACACATGACCATGATCCAGGCTAGCTAAGGCCAGAAGTGGGTTACGGAATACAGACCCTGTTGGGGGTGCCTGTCTATATCTCTCTTTAAAGAAAGTAATAAATAAATTTGAAAAAAATTACCCTCATAATTATTTTATTGATCCCAGTAAAGATGATTCTAAAGGTACTACAGAAAAATATGGGACACTAAAGTTGAGAATTATACCTAGGTGTTGTTATCTAACTTTTTGACAGCTGAAGGAACATGGTATTTTTTTGGGGGTGGGTGAGAGCCCCTGTCTTTTTAGTTAGCTGCTTTGTTTTGTTGAAGATTTCTTTTATTGAATATTGCTACGGACATTCTGAAGATTTATTTTAATTTCATTAGCTTACATTTTCTGCCTCATTTTTGTTAGTATTTAGAATTCAATACCTTATATATTCAGATGCATAGATAGGAGCATAGCTGTAATTCAGGAAGGAAGGGTTATGGGCCAAGTTGATGATGAAAACATCTTTGAGCTTCCAGCCATATAAGGCTGGTGACTGACAGAGTGCTAGTGTGTGTGTGTGTGGGGGGGGGTGCCACCTGTTCCTCCTACACCAATCCCGGGGTTACACAGGGGCAAAGTTTCCAGTTACTCATGCTACTCCCAGATTTTTCAGGGCATATGCATACTGCCCAGAAAGCAGTGGGTTCCAGGGAAAAACAACCTCTTCATTCTAAGATGTGAGTTGTTTTTGTACTATAACAGTAACCAGTAGTAAATATAGATCCCCTATGTGTATACAATGACATTAGTGAGTACCTCTAGCACTTGAAGGTATTATATAATTTAATTTTTAAAAAGTGAAACTTAGGGAGTATAACAGAAAGGAACTATATTCTCTTTGACAGCAGCTCTGTAACTTGTAGGGGTTAAAAATGCTGAAAGATAAAAGAATCTCTTAACAATGTAAGTCTAAAAACTAAGAACCAAGCTACCAGGGGGAGAGTTGAGGGGTGTGATTCATGGAGCACAAGCCATGCTCAGACCTGAGGCTCTTTCTCCCTGGCTGGCTTGACCAAGCCGTCACCATGCTCACAGGCTGCAATGAACGAGCCTGAATTGTGATGTGGAGAGGACGCTTAGAGACCTGGTCCAATTCCCTGTTTTCTCTGTGACCTGATTTTTGGACAGCTGAAAATATATTATATGAAAGTATATGGTACTCCTGTCTTCTGTGACAAAATTCTTAAATCTCTGCTGTGTTATATACCCATGCATCAATTTTCCACTCAGGAATCCCCATTAGCTAAACATGCATTAAAGACACCACCGAGCGTGACTAACTGTCAGAGCAGCTACCGTTGACTCACTAGGGGAAAATATGTGCAGACTATTTTTTTAAGAAAACTTTTGGGCACACAACTTATTTCCAGAAAGAAAAACAAAAAGTAAGATAGTCTAACATTATTATTATTTTTTAATTGGAAATTTTCCTCTAGAAAACAGTAGTCCAGAACTTACATCTACAACATGTTTAACCTCTCCGTGGTTGGCAGTACTGATAGCTTCACCCTGGATCCCCTTCAACTGCATTTCCTTTGTGGATATCCAAGATGACAACTCAAAAAACCTGAAATAACCCGAACAGTTTCTTATGAAGCGAAGAAGATATCAGAATGGCTAGAATACATTTTCTATTTTGAATTCACTCACAAAAATTTAACAATCAAGTGATTTACAAATTGATTGAAAGATTTTCTGGAAATTTTCTTTAACATTAAGCTTAGGGCAGTGGGGGGCCACCTCTGTGCTCTGTTACTTAAGGGAGCTCAGTAGAGGGAAAAGGTGTGGCCCAGGGCCTGAGTTCTGGAGAGAAGACAGGGACCGCACATGTCCCTGCAGAGTGAGACTCTGACCCAAAGAGTTAGAAGCCCTCCATTGGAGGTATGAGGAAATCGGGGAGAAAGAAATCAGCTCGCTCTGCCTCAAAAGATATATAAGCTGGGTCACTTGAAAATAAAGTCCCTCTCTGATCCAAATTCTGACCCAAACACATTCTTCCATTTGTTTTATTTATTTTATTTTTAATGTACTTTCCATCATGGTACATCTCTGTGGCACACGACATGGTCAGAGGGTAAGTGTGCTCACCAGAGAGAAACACCAGAAGGAGAGAAGGAGAAGGAGAAAGCACCTCCCCAGTGGGGTGTGGTCATGCCACAATCCCTTCACTTCCATTTCCCTGTCCTGTCAGGATTTTGGACATACACACACACAAACACACACACACACTCCTGGAGTATTTTCAAGCTGCTGAGACTGAGATTTGAACCATGGTGGGCCATGTGGAATCCAACTAGGTTATAAGACCAGCTTATTCTTTTTATTTTGAATTTTTAAAACTTTTATTTTTGAGAGATTTTTTGCTAAAGGTCATGTGTACTTTCCAGAGACACAGAGAGAGGGAAAGTGAAAAACCCCCCAGAGAAGATGGTTATGTTGTAAATCCTCCTCCATTCTCCTCTCAGGATTTTGGGCATGCATGCATACTTGTCTGGCATGAGTTTTCTTTTTCTGGAGAGGTTTTTGCTATAGGGCATGTGCGTTTACCAGAAAGTCAGAGAGAGACAGAGAGATAGAAAGCAAGAAATCACCCCCACGGGTGTGATTCATGGAACACATGAATTCTCCATTCTCCTCTTGGGATCTTGGGCACACACACACATACATCCGGCGTGAATTTAAGCCACTGGCTCCGGGACCTGAACCACGGTTGGCTACATGGGAGTTCAGCAACATAGCCATTACTCTATCTGCTGGTCCCAACCTGGCATGAGTTTTAAAACACTGGGTCTGGGACTCAAACTGTGGGTGACCATGTGGGAGTCCAATGCCTTAACCACTACACCACCTGCTGGCCCCCTCCCCCATTCTTTTTATTAACTGAAAGATTTTGTACAAGAACATGGGTAAGGCCACACAATCTGATTTTCCTAATTGCATAAAATGAAATGTATGCCATTTCTTGTTGTGTCTCCAACTAACAGAATTAAGATAGACCTTCTCCTTGTCTGGAGGCAACTCAAGACTACCTGCTGGTATAGTCTCTCCACTTGTCAGGGTCTTCCAAAAGCTTTGCATAGGTGCTGTCAATGGCAGCTCTGAGCTCTCTGAGAGCTGTGTGACAGGTTGCAGGTGCATCCCGAACCGGATCCCGCACTGGGAGTTTCACACACAGTTCCTCAATGAGCTGTAACCTTTTCTCACAGAGGTGATGAGGACCTTTGTCACTGAAAAATATCTAATGAACAACAGGCATTTTTATAATCCCCATGAGAAGTCATATAATACTTCCTACATTTTCATAGAAAAACCAAAGGAAGATCCCCATGTGGACTACCAATGAAGGGTAGTCCAATTTTCTATTTTCTTTTTTCAGACCCCAAATGAAATATCAGCTATGGCCTGTAGGTAATGGTATGGTATGAGAGACATACCCTGTGCTCTTTAATAATCTGTTCACTGCCTTCCTGGGACACCAGGTTGGTCTCTCGATCCAGCTCCGTCCTGCATTCTTCTACAGAGGCTAAGAATCTATTCCTCTCCACATCAATCTTCAGATGAAGCAAATGATAAGGAGCTTCTCCTTGAAGGTCCTATATACCATAAGAAGATTCAGAAAAACAGGATACGTTCCTAATTATGTACATTTCTAACTGAAGTGGAAAAAATAAAACATAAAATAATTGTTTTAGAGGCAAGGTTATTTCATCACTGTTGTCTACTCTTAGGCTCTCTACTTTATACTTTATTAAATACTAAGACCTCAGTAAATCCTTTCTGCCTACAGTGGGTTCATGTTTGCATGGCAATTACCCTACAGAATTCTCACAGCAGCTCCACACAGTGTTAATGTGCCTCTTTCAGAGATGAGATCATTGAGGCCCTGCTGTGCATACAACAGTTTGGTTCAAACCTGGATTTAAGTCATGCACTGGAGCCACATCCCCTTTCCCTGCACACAACACTTTTGATTTAGCTGACACCCTTGTGAGGTAGAAGGAGCAGATATTACACCAACTTCATAAAGGAAACATGAAAAAACTTATCAGGAAAAACAAAAAGTAATAAAACAAAATTAAATAAGCCAGGATTGCTGATCACCTGCCATATCCTCTTTCCTTCAGGCTCTGTGTTAAGAAGATAAGTAAACAAGAACTCAAACAACACATTACTTTTTTCACATTCTTTTTAATTATAAGCATAAGCTTCACTATTACCTTTAGTCCTAAAATTTATTAATTTTAGCCCACTTGTATCCTATAGCATTTAAAAAGATTACCTTTCAGGCAGAATTCAAAGATAACTCACGAGGAAATGAGATATGGGACCATGGAAAGACTATGACAGACAATACTCTAGAATACTCTAGAGAGTTTGTGTGTGTGTGTGTGTGTGTGTGTGTGTGTGTGTGTATGTGTGTGTGCAATAAAATACTATCTCCACTTACAGTCTCTATTCCATAATACATTATGATATGTTAAGCTTCAAAGACAGCTTAGAAAGCTAGGATGTAGAAATTATTTTTTTCATGAGATGCTCACGTTTTCAAATTTAGCAAGTATAAAAGAGATTTCTTTAACTGTCTTTTTCCATATGCAGTGAAGATTTTTTAGTCTGTGTCACTGTTAAAAATCCAGAAAGGAACACAACGTGATGGAGAGACTTTTATCTGCTAATCTTCCAAACCCCAACATCCCAGCATATAACATACACAATCAACCCTCCATTGTCACCTCCTGATAGCACCTGCAGCTGGGGTCAAGCTCCTCCACCCTAGTTCAGGAAAACCAGCTTCACTGGGTCTTCATTATACTGCAGCTTCTTCCAGAATCAGACAGACAAATTCTGAAGTGGTTTCCAGTTGACAGGCCCAGCCTTGTCTCCCAGAACTCTCCCTTGACAGTCAGACCATTCTCCATGGATGCCCTACTTGCAGGTTCTCTGCTTCCTCTATTCTCACTGAGGCTGTGGCATTCTTCTATTTAACCTCACATTTCTGATCTGCTTTAAAGTCCCAGCTAAAATGAATTACTTCATTCAGTTTTCCAGTCTCAAGTATGTACACCTCCCTCTTTCCAAGTTTTCCCAAATACATTACCTGCATATTTTTGGACTTATTATATATTATACTTTCATTCTTGCAGCTAATTATCTCCTTTACTGAACTTTGTGGGAAGAGGATTATGCTTTGTTCATCATTGAATCCATAAACAACAAATGTTTTATTTATATTTTTTATATCATACCCTTATAAACTAGATGATAAAGTCTTCAAGGAGAGCAAATATATATACAAATATATATATATTTGTAATATCAATGATACACATAACATAGTCGACTTATCTAAGAGGAGTGTGCTAAATGTTGCTTGAATGAGGTAAATGCTCTAGTCATTCCTACCCCTTCCTTCCAAAACTCAGAAAACAGCAAAAATAGAGTCCTCTATAGCATAATAAAACTGATGCAAATATAGAAATAACAAAGTGCTATCATACTGTACCATGCTTTACTTTTCAGTACTGCTGTTGTTAATGGGAGAGGTGACCACGGTGACTTTCCGTGAACCTCTAGGTTGGGCCTTAACACCCTCCTGCCCTTCCTTGGTCATGACACACTGCTCCCCTTCTGTCCTGACTCACCTTCCATTGCTTATGGAGCTTTCTAACAGCTTCTTGCAGGCCTTGCTGTTCCTGCTCAGGGAGGATATCGGTGAGCTCATCACAAGCTTTTAGGAAAGCATTGAGCACCCGCTGATCCAGCTGAGTGAAAAACTCCTGACATAGAGAGAGAGCGAGAGAGAAAGGTGGGAAGAGTGTTGGACAGAATATGAGGCAGCATCAAACTATCATGTCTCTAAACATGCCTCTAAACAATCCTCTGGGCCAACTACTGCCTTCCTCAAGACTTCTGGGCAACTACTAATTTTTTTATTAATAGATAAACTATAAGCATGTGCAGTTTTGAGTTAGAAACATTACATCTGAAATTCAACTAGTACTTTTTATTTTTCTTTCTCTTTCGTTTTCAAAATTTGCTTTACTCTTATGAGCTTACTTGAGAGAGACAGAGAGGAGAGTGAGAGAGAGAAAGTGAGAAAGCACCCCGTTGGGGCAATGGCCACACTGCAATTCCTTTTCCTCCATTCTCCTCTTGGGATTTTGACACATATGTCCAACATGTTTTTCAAGAGGCCAAGGCTAGGACTTGAACCTTGCAGTGGTCATGTGGGATCCAGCCACTTTAACCACCAGACCACTGACTAGCTCAGTACTTTTCATCTTTAGGAAAAAATTATTTTTGCAATTTTCAAATTTGGTAGTCTATTCTGAAAGCTCAGTGGGAGATCTTAAAACCATGATTCAACAGTGACAGAGTTTTTGGTTCCTCTTTGGTTGAGTCAAAAAAGCAGAGTCGAAGCCAGGACTGAGCCTAATAATTGCTCATTCCCTAACTGAAATGCATTCCAAGCCCTGGTGGCTCATGGTGAGTCATTGTCACACTCACCCATGTGCACACATGAGCACACAAGATACAGACTGAATTGTGTCCTTCCCAAATTCACATGTTGAAGCCCTAACCCAACCCCAAATGTCATGGCAATTAGAGGTGGGGCCTTTGGGAGACACTTAGGTTTAGATGATGTCATGAGGGTGAAACCTCAAGATTAGTGCTGTTATAAGAAGAGACACCAAAGAACCCACTGCTATACACTCTGTGTGTCACGTGAGGACACAGGAAGAAGATAGTTATCTGCAAGCCAGGAAGAAGGCCCTCCCCAGAACCCCCACACTGGCACCCTGATTTCAAACTTCCAGCCTCTAGAACTGTGAGAAAATAAATTTCTGCAGTTTGAGCCACCAGTGTATAGTGTTTTGTTGTGGTGGCCTGAGCAGACTAAGGTGATATATATGCACATGCACATGTAAATAGGTCCCACAGACACGGTAGTGCATTTGCAGGGATACTTTTAAACAACAGTAATTCAAAAATAGAAATCACCATACTGCAGAGGTGAACAAACTGAGGTGGTTTGTGTTTTGTGGTCATAAACATCAACCCTATGTCTAGCCAGTTGCATCAGGAAGGCATTGCAGTCATCATCTGAAAGGGTGGGTTATACAATTTTCCACTGAAATTTCAGGAAATTTCCACAGAAATTTCAGAACACACGTTCTCAGAGTTCTAGGCAACTCCACACACAATTTCATGCCTTACTAGTGTTCTCAGTACTGATGTAATTAAACAAGGAGGAGAAGCCTGATGATGGCATCACCACACTCGGGACAACTGTGAATAAGCCATACCAGACTTTGAGGGATATGATCTTTATACTATAAAATGAGCACAAAGGACATCACCATTCACCTTATGTTATCTATATAAAAGAATTTTTACTTATGTAAGAGTTTCTGGTTTGAATGATGAATTTCTAACTTAACAGCCAAAATTATCCTATGACTCTTACTATTCTAGGGGCTTTATAAAGGTCAATTTATAGGTTAGCTAGTCAACTGCTCTTGAAGTTTTTTCATCCTCCATTTCTTTGGATCTCACTCCTGAAACATTACTGCCTTCCCAACTCAGCCCCTCTTTCCCCTCCCTGTGTTGCATTGGAATGTCCTTCACAATTTTTCATTCAAGACTGCCCATCCATACAAGTGGACGTCACATAAGTTTTTTCAGCTCAGAGATCCCACTCAGGGGGGACTCACAGTGTGTCTCTTCAGCAGTTCTTCTGGATCCCCTTTTTCCTCCAAGCCCTCCTGAGCAATCCGTAGCACTTTTTCCAACTCTGCTCGAGACTCCTCAAATTTCTTCATCAAACGACTATTGGTTTCCACATGCTTCTTCCAATCTCCAGTTTTCTTTACCATATTCTTGATGTAAAAAATAATCATAATGTGCTTTCACATTACTAAAAGCATCATTTTATTAGAGAGTATTATTGATTTTAAAAGACACTTGGAAGGAAGACATTTCATTAGGATGAGAATGATTAACTTTTTCCAGTATTAGATTAATATTTTTAAAAAGATGTAGTAAAAAGAGCGGATTCCAAATGCCCATAGGTGAGGCAAGACTACAAGAGTAGGCAATGCCTTGTCCTCACTCTCTGTATTTTTCTCTGTTTAAGACTTTAAATCAAATAGAACAAATTACCTGAAAAGCAACATGAACATCTGTAATCTGTCTTTGTAGCTTTGTCTGATCAAAATGCTTTAACACATTGCTCAAGGTCACAAACTTCTGGACACTATGACTGCCTTTCTCAATTACAGTCAAGGTTTTCTTACAGCTTTCCTGACAAGCTAACAGCTCCTACAAGAAAAAAGAAACACACAAAATATTTAAAAGAGTAAGAAAGAGAGTCACCACTGCAAATAATAACATTATGTAGATTTTAAATGTTCCATCAGCAATAAGTCAAACCAAAAGTACAGGGGAACATTGCTTTTCAAAGGAGCTCAGTTTTAAGCAAATGCTGAAGTCAGTGCTTTTCAAAGCATTTACGTGTCACGTAAGTTTTTTTTTTTAATATTTCATACACATCTTATTAAGAAAGGCAGAGCATCAAAATTATTACTTGCCTAGTGTCTGCCTTCTTCCAACTAGTTAGTAAGCCTATGGTCTATTGAGAGAACAATCATGAAATCATGCTACGTATCAGGTTTTAATCTGACTAAATTAACTTAAGACCATATCACTACCGAGTCAGGTGCAGCATATTTGTATCATGCGTGTATCCTAAATTTATCGCATTGAATTTCCTGAGGCTTACAAGCTATCAGCCTTAAATAATGAAATAGGGACTCTAGATCCTAATCAAAAAAGGAAGCAATCCAGTGGAAAACTTGCCCAGGAAAACTTGCAACCATCACACCTTTACAAGACAAGAAGCAGAGGTGATGCACAGGTCCACATCGGAGCCTGCCATGTAGTCATTTGTGAGGTAGAAGGCACAGACATTATCCTGCCTGGCCAAAGTAGAGCATCATTTTTAATGTAAATCCACACCATTTGCATTTCAACATCCTCTATTGCTTTGAAAAAAACATTTAAAATGGTTCATTTCGATGTCATTTTTGATTATTTGGAAGTGAACACTAAGAGCAGCTTTTTTTAGTTTCTTTAGGCAAAACAGAATAAGGACACACTTTTTCTTTTTGAAGACTTACAAAATGAAAGAGTAACAGTTTAAAACTGTGACAACATATTACTGATATTTATTATTAATAATATAAATATTATTTATGCAAAGATTATAGCAATTTGGAAATGTTAAAAAAACGATACCCTGTTTCAAAATGAAAGACAATCTTTATGCAGTATCATGAGAAGTTATTGAATAGGGTTTGGTGGTATAATTATTGTGGCTTCACTACCTATAATAATAATGATACCAGGTACAGAGAACATATTACATGCTATTAAGACCTAATATCCCTACAAGGTCACAACTCAGGTATTATCATCTTTATCTGAAGGTGAGAACATTGAAGTTAATCAAGGCTTTGTAATTTGCTTTATTTGCCTGACTCATTTCAGATAATCTCTGCTCTTTCTACTAATGGTTCTGCCTTCCTCTCATGAATCTATTTCAATTAATGAAGTGGCAAACCCTTTTGTATGTTAGTTTCACCCTCCTCTGATGGATAGGTTCATTTATTACAGCCAACTAAATAAGTCAATTAACTGGAACACTCAGTAGGAGACTGCTCTGCATACAGATCTACTTACTAAAAATGAGACAAAGAAAAATGATTTTCACTCCAAACACATTTCTAGAGTTTTCTACTTGTTTAAGCATATCTCTTCCTAGAGTGGAAAAAAAATATCTCATGAGACATTGATTATAGATACTAACAAGGTGACTTTGAAATTCATATGGAAATGCAGGGACTGAGATAGTCAAAACTATCCGATGAATACAATATACAATTAAATATAAATATATATATGTAAAATAATATATACACACATACATATAAATACATATATATGACATTTTATACATTTATATACAGATGTGTACATATGGAACACACACCCATGTTTGAAAAAAAATGAAGAAACATGTATCTTTTTAAATTAAATTAACCATTTAGTCAATTACTATGATAGTTGGGGAGCCGAGTTCACAGAAGAGAAAGTCAGGTCTTCATAGCAAACTAATGGGGTAGTCCTAATTTGTCCAGCTCAGTGAATTCACTAATTGGGAAGATTAGAACCTAGCCCCCACAAGCCCATCCGCAAAGGCCAGTGTGACAATCCCTGAATACAGCTCAAAGCCCATCCACTGACAGGGGCGTGTTTCCATCTTTGGACAAGACGTGTGTTTTGTTTTGAGTTACTAATAGTATTCTAGAAAAATAGTTCTTGTACTAAGTGAATTCCTATAAGCAACACCTCAGTCTCATTACACATGCTTTGACATAATTCTGTCTCCTCGAAGGGGATTTTCTTACCTGGTGTTTTTGTTTAAAAAGAGCACTAGATTGTGCCTCGTGCTCAAGAATGGTTATAATTTCATTAATTTTCCCGAGTGAATCATAAAAGGACGTCATCTGTTTTTCTAATTCCTCCAACGGAATCAACAGCTGCTGAGACTCGTAAAGGAGTGGAGAGCAACATTCTTTGACCTTTAAAAATACAAAAACAAAATTTCATGGAAAGGCAGTTCGTTCAGCAGCACCAGCTCAAGGTAGTGTTCGAGGCTCTGAGGAACGTTTTCTGTAGTGACAAGGTTGTATGGTGTCTACAAATCCCCACAGATAGCTCTTTAATGATATTTCTTCTTGTTAAATTTTGCTGTCAAAAACAATACTACCGAGACAAATGAACAGCTACTGAGCTTTCTCATGAAAATTCATCTAAATCATCCATCTGGACAGCATTTTCCCATCTAAATGATCATGGTTAGTGAGGCAGATGGCATCAAATTCTACTCCATAAAGCCTGTAACTCTTTCC